AATTAATATTTTACCCTTAACTTCTTCGCGATCATCGAGGTGCGACATAACTATGTTTCATAGAGTTAGCACCGATCGTATATATATGGCGCCATTCACGGTCTGTACACTCACCTATGTGCTTATCTGATTACTGTTATTGTGGTCAAATTCCATGGAACTATTGTTGATCCCAGGACTAAGTAGCTCTTATGCACTACTATCATATTGTTATTGTCAATTCAGACTCGCATGTAAGGTTAATTCTTATAAAGATATTTCACACTGTATTTGTGCTATTCCTTTGCCTGTAGCTTCGCGATACGATGTCTTCCGATTGTGCAATGACGCCTATCTGGAAGTTCCCCAGTCTGAAATACCACCAGGACATGACCTGGCAACTATCCACCCCATGGGCGAGACCAATATTGGTACAAATGCCAAAAATAGTGGGGAAACCGCTGAATCGGGCGTGGAAAGTGCCAAATGTAGCACAAGAGAAAAGGCGAATACTACTACAACTCGGGGTAAAACTGGGGCTAGCAAAGGACACACATCTTCGAGTGAGACTAAGGACGACCCAGACACAGACACAGAGATGGAGGGCTCTGAACAGCCCCCACTAAACATCCGTGATACGGAGATGTCGGATGCTGACGCCGAAGTGAGTGTCTTTGTGTGCGGGTGTTCAAGTATGCGAGTGCATGTACATTCAGAGGGTATCTGGGGTGGATGTAACGTATAGCGCTTTGCCAGATGCTCCTAGGACCAGATTCAGCTTGCGATCAAAAGCCGTGTGCATAGTTTCGCGGCATATGGCACTTTGTCCTCTTGTTGCATTCCCCCGGTGAGCTTGTTTGTGTGTCTGTCTGGGCAGCTTGTGTGTGTTAAAATCCTTATCTGTGTGTCCGTGTCTTGTTCGTCTGATATATCCTTCTAGGCCGTGTAGGAAACCCGTGTCGAAATCCTGTCATATGTTCGTGGTTTTGAATCCATTTTTACGCAAGCTTCTGCAATGCAAGCACAATTACATCGTATATGTTTCCTTACCCGCAATACTCAACTGATCCGTTACACCGGCCGCCAGTGGTAGCATCACCAGGCACACTCTTTTTCTCATATTCATTCCTCGCCCTAACTCTTAATCGATCCAGGTAGAACCGTCACCTCCACAGCAAAAGAACAATGAGCCTATGTATCGAATCGACTACAACTTCGACAGCCTCGCAGAACTGTATAGCTACTGGAGCGAACTGCACATGATGTCGGAGAAGGCCACAACCCACACCATACCTACCAAAGCGGCAATGTCCAAGGTGATATCAGTGGGAGGGTTGCCGTTGAGCTTGCGCCTAAACCTTCCCGGAGAGTAAGTGAATGTATATGTAAAAATATATAAATATATAGATATATAAATAAGTTTATGTATATGTATATATAAATATATGAGTATGTTTATGTAAATGTATACGTATATTTATATCTATATGTATCTGAATG